CTCGCGAGGCAGAGCGAGTCTTTGAGATCTCGGGAAGCCAGGGGTGAGTAAGGCAATAAGGTCATAATGTCTGAAACTAGGTGGTTAGTTATATCAATACTGACCTTAAGTTATCGACAGATTTAAACCAAAGAACCGCTTACTACACTGTGCCTCACGTTCTAGAATGACAACAAGGTAAAACAAAAAATGGATGAGAGGCTGTTCGTTGGGGAAATCATCAGCTTTCGTCACCCATTCCTCGGACTCATTCCATAAATCCTTCCGCGGGAAATTCAGCTGCACATGCCTGCAAACGGATCACACCCCGTCAATCTGCAGCAAAATTCACATCATGGCAAAAAGTTTATACACACGCGGAGGGTCCAACTCCCCTCACTCTTCAACTCACACGTCAACACACGGACTCTCGCACAACCATAAAACTTCTTCATCCACCATTTTTCTAATATATTTTTGATATCAAAAGAAAATAATCACTGACCCAATATTCCTCTTGAAACTGAGTCCAAGCTTAGAGATACATCATATTACTCTACCCCGATAGTATAAGAGAGACATTTTTAGTTGTTGTTTTTTTTATCCCATTAAGAACTCTTCAAAAGTATTTAAAAAGATGAAAACATTCCTTCGAAACCAAAGCCCCGGCTTAACGCGGCTCTTGAGGGCGGAGGGAGAGCCGAAAGAACACCAGAGGAAGATGTTCGCTCGCGAGGCTTCCGTCGCCGGCGGCGTCGCGGCCGCGGAGGGACGCGAGCCGCCCGCCCTCGCGACAGACCTATATATATATATATATATATATATATATATATATATATATATATATATATAGAGAGAGAGAGAGAGAGAGAGAGAGAGAGAGAGAGAGAGAAGAGAGAGAGAGAGAGAGAGAGAGAGAGAGAGAGAGAGAGAGAGAGAGAGAGAGAGAGAGAGAGAGATAGATATAGATATGATATAGATATATATATATATATATATATATATATATATATATATATATATATATATATATATATATATATATATATATATATATATATATTATATATATATATATATATTATATATATATATATATATAATATATATATATATATATATATATATATATATATATATATATATATATATATATATATATATATATATATATATATATATATATATATATATATGTATATATGTATATATATATATATATATATATATATATATATATATATATATATATATATATATATATATATATATATATATATATATATGTGTGTGTGTGTGTGTGTGTGTGTGTGTGTGTGTGTGTGTGTGTGTGTGTGTGTTGATTATTGATATAATAATTATTATTATCATTATCATCATTATCACTATTACATTATTATTATTACTATTATTACTACTATCATTATCATTATTATCAGTAGTGGTAGCAGTAATATTACAATCATTATAATTGATTTTTATTATAATTGCCATTATCATTGCTCTCATTATTGTTACTGTTATTACTTTTATCATCATCATCACCAACATTGTTATTATTATATTAGTATGATCATCATCATTGTTATCATTAGTAATCATTATCAACTATAATATCGTCATTATTAGCATTATTATTATCATCGTTACTATCATTATTATTGTTTTTATTATCATCATTATCATCATTATCACTTTTACTACTGTTACTATCACCATTATTGCTGCATCTTATTATCATAATCATTATCACTGTTATTACTATTATCATTATCATTATCATTATCAGTATTGTAATCATTATTATTATCTTTAATATTTCTATTCTTATCATAATTATCAATGTTATTATTACTATAATTACCATTATTATTATCACTATTATTATTATTATTATTATTATTATTATGATAATCATCACCATTATCATTATTATTCTTATTATCATATTTTCATTTTCATTATCATAATTATCATTATTTTTATTATCATTATTATTATGATCTCCATCGTCACCATCATTTCTAATGTCATTATCATCATTATCATTATCATTATAATTATTATCAACATTATTAGTATTCTTTTTATCATTATCATCATTATTGTTATTATAGGAATTATAATCATTGTTATAATAATTATCATTATGATCACTATCATCATTATTATCATTATCATAGTTATCATTACTACCATCGTTATTATAATTATTATTATAATTGACGGTGTTCTAGTGTTTTTTGTTGTTGTTACCGTTATCATTATTACTGTTATTTTTTAAATTATTTCTTTATCATTATCATTATCATTACTACTGCTGCTATCTTTACTATTTCTGTTATTATCATTATTATCATTATCATTATTATTATTATCATTATCACCATTATCATTATTACTACTATTGCCATTATTATCATTGTTATGATTATTACTACTACTATTATTATCATAAATATCATTATTATGATTAATGTCATTGCTGTTTTTTACCATTCTTACTATTGTTATTATTACT